TACTTCAGTAAAAGCCTTAAAATACCCGGCCTTCCTTTGCTTTGGCTGCTTAGGTGCCAAACGCTGCTTTTGGTCGTTGGTCTTGGATTTTTTTTGTGATGAGATATAACACGAGTAATGCATACATTTGGAAAAAAAAAAAGCCCCAAAGCCACTCTGTGGCTTTAACTGTCCCTTTTGGTGAGAACGTGAGTGCGTGCGTGCCGCAGATGCCAGGCGTACGCGTACCGCGCCTCTGGAAGTGGTTCGGGTACGATGCCGATGAGGCACGCAGGACGGAATTAATTACTGCCTTCTCTATGTATTGGCTTCTGAATTTCAAAGCATTATTTGCTCTGTTGAGCGTTTACGATTTTGTGACTGCAAAGGCAATGCTTCTTCAGACAAAACGAGTCACTTTTGTACCCCAGGCTCCCGTGCCCTGCGGCTTCACCTCCCTCCCGCAGCAGCCCTGTGCACAGTTACACACCGAGCATGCCTTCGGAAATGGCCAGCTTTTTGTTAATGTCACCTCAGGCATTTGTTGATAAATAAATAATATGTAATAACAAGTAGAATTAACTGAAGGTTTTAATTCTTTTTTTTTTTTTCTCCCCCCAGAAGGAGCTCAGTCTCCCCAGAAGAGGAAGCTTGTAAGTATAATTATTCTTTATTCATCACTTGGTTTGTTTTGAACATATATAGCTGCTTGGTTGTGGAAGTCATTTAAGCAGGCAGATACTCTTGTTTTCTCTGTTAGCATTTTCAAGACTCTGCCATGCACTTGGAAACAGCAAGCTTGCATTTCTCCAAGCCTGAAGCCTATTCATTTCCTTAAGTGTAGTAGGAAATGTAGTAGTAGTGTAAGCTTACTTCTAATTATCAGCTTGAGCTGATCCTGATCCGGAAGGAGCTGCGGTGTTGAGTGTTGCTTGCACTGACATCGCTGAAGTGACTCCACAGAAGTCACTGATTATTTATGTGATACAGACAACTTTGATCACTGCTCTTCAAACAGTCTGTTGACAGAAGTCTTAAGTACACAGCTCCTGGGCCCTGCAGGTCAGGTGTTTGTGGAGCAGTCAGTGTAACAGAGAGATTTCAGCAAAGTAGCAAATGTTGGGAGAAGCAGGCTTTTGAATATGTGGTTTAAACAAATAGCAAATTTTTTTTAGTACATTATGATGTTTTAGCGAACTAACCTGTGTTTCAATGATATTATGAGAGCTTAGCTTCTGCTATGCTTACAGATTTATGGTGGAAGAAATTGCGTTATTGATTGCATTATATAAAGGAGAAAGCTTTTGTACTGCCTGCTATTGCATTATGATTTAAAATTGTTTTCCAAAGCTTGTAGACTACAGACATGAAGCTCACAAAAGCGTATAACCTTTCTTCCTCAGGTTTCTGGTTCTAATGAGAAATGATTTTCAGTCTTTCAACATAAGCTATCCCCTTTGTATAAGAAACAGTGTTTGGAAAATGCTGTGTAGCACTAGTGATTCAGGGCTGAACAATACAGCAGATCAAAAGGCCTTTTTTTGAAACGGGGCATGACCAGACCTTTTTTTAGTTCAAATGACAATGGTTAACCAGTCAGGGAGTTATTTAAAGAACATGAAACACTGGCTGATTTTTTTTTTTTATTTTAAACAGTATGCCTTAAAGGCTAGCTTAACTATATTGTTATGTATATATAGATCTATATATAGATTTGTAAGAAAGGTGGTGCTCATGATTTGAAGATTGTGAAGGATCTTTGAACAAGTGAGCAGTAAGTTATCAATAAGTTTTTTGTTTAATGTAACTTAGATTAAAAGATATTTTTATACAAAACTTTTGGAATTGAAATTGAGGATGCCAGAGATATTTCCTTCCCTCGTTCAAGTGTGGAGGTGGGTATGATACAAAACTACTCATGTATTTACATTTAAAATATCTGAGATAAAAATTAAGTGCTTCAAATGTGTAGTGTTTTATTTAGTAGTAACTAAACCAAAGGACTAAATGTTTTATTTCTGCATTGACTTAAGACCTTCAGTTTTCTTTACTTCATTTTAGTTTTCTTCCACAAGTGAATGCCTTTTAAGCCACCGTTATGTGAAGAAATTTAACAACCTGTGTCAAGAAGATCCAGGCCATAAATTTTCAGCACAAGGTTGCAGCTACTAGCAAGACTGAAAATCTGTGAAGAATTGAAATTCAGTTAGTTGCCTGTGTTATCTATATCTAGTTGATTATTTGATTGCGGTTTCTGGAATTACAGATTCTGTAGTCAATTCTACCAAATGATTTCTTGTTGCTTGAAAAGTTATAACTATTTAAGAAGTCAGTAGTGCATTGTGGCTTTTTTATATCTGTGTTCATGCCGTACTGTTAAGCACACAGGCTCACTGAAAAGGGTCTTGGTGGAGCTGATGTATATGATTTGCATATCCCGGTATCAAAGTGCTTATTTGATTTTAAAAAAGTTGACTCTTAGTCTTCGAATCAGGAATTAGAGAAATTTACATCAAGGAAGGGAATAATTATAATATGAGTGTGTATATATATGTGTTAAAAATACACATATAATACATATACATTTGTTCAACCATTCTGTCAAAAAAGGTGGCCTAACGATGTGCGCTTAAATACAGACTGTAGGCAGTTCTCAGTTCTTCTGGAGGCTTTTCCTCTGCTTGAATAAGCTTAACAGTGAACCACATAAGCAAAAATAAATTCAGAAAATAAAATATATTCTGAAAATCTGCTGTTGTGCTGTAGCTAATGAGTAGGGATAGTTATGGATGTAGCTAGGTCCTGATTCATTGACCGTCATTCATTGACTTTTGTTCACTGTCAGGAGCAGAAGCAGGAATTGACAGAAGGATGAAGTGTCTGGCTTGGAGCCAGAAACCCTCAAGAGGTGCATCCATTTGCTGCACAAACTCCAGCCTTTGTAGCAGTTCAGCAGCAATTGTATTATATAGGAACATACAGCATTTTTCTGTGTGCTAGTCTGGAGGCTGGGGTGCATTTACTACTGTAAAAAGATCATATTTGGGGGGGAAGTCATTATTCTCCAGCCAGCCAGAAGTAGAATGAAGACTTGATTATTGCTGCTTGCTAGGTGATTGCTTTGGTTGATTGTTGAGTTAGAAAGGTTTTAAGCTGTGGATTAGCTAGGGTATTTGTCATTGCTGAATGAAGAATGCTTCTTTTTCTTTATCCGACTTTCATTGCTTCGTATTCACCTGGGTCAGTATCAGTAGTCTCTTTTTCTGCAGGGACTGGTTGTAGGCATGGGCAACAACGGTCGCTATGCTTGTTTGTACTAAGGAAACGGAGTGGGGTCAGATGTCTCTGTATTTTTGGCAGGAGAGCATGAGGAATTTTGTCACCTAAAGAAGGTCTTGGGTAGAAGAAGAGAGTAAAAGGTGGGATGGAGCCTGTGAAGTCTGTTGATTAGCGACTCTGCTTCCCTATTAGCAGAAGGGAACACAAGCACACCGTAAACGATGGCTTTGACCTTGGAGATCTTGCAGTCTAATCTTGAAATAATCAGCACAGGGGGAACAGGCATGTAAAACAGATGGGGGAATTGTATGCAGGGTGACATTAAGAGGAATGCCTGATTATTTAGAGAACGTTTTGTTGTGAATGTGCTTAAAGTGTGTGTGTTTCTGTAGGGGGGTTATGTTTAATACACTAAAGGAAATTATACTCAACTGAGTTGTAGGCTGCTAAGAGGTTGAATAATACAAGTATGAGAACAGGAACAAGTAGTTATATTCTGTCTCTGGTGTGGTTCGATAATCAGAGTTCAAAGTTTTCCTTTAATAAATTATGCACATAAATGTATTGGTTATGTTTTTCCCATGCTTTGTTCATAAAAAATAATTAGCATTCATGAATATTTTCTTTAATTTCAAATAGTGAATGTGAAGTGATAGACCCAAACTTTGATCTCCATCCTATTAGTGGAAGTGGTTTAATTATTTTCAGCCACTACCCTCTTCTCTTCTTTTGGTGCTACAGCGTGTACAGAGATTGCTTTTTTGCATTGTTGGCTTTGGCTTTCAAATGGTTTTGATGTGCACCTGCACGTGAAGCACCCTGGAGACGCTCCAGGCTTGAAAGGACAAAGGTGGGGACCTTGCAGCAAGACGAGGCTGGTGATAAAGTGCTTGTGTGTGTTCATGTGTGTAACAGCAACTCCGTGTCCAAAAGACCAGGCTGTAAACTGCAGATTTTCCGTTGCGGCTGCAGGATGCACAACGCCATCCTGGAGCTCACTGTTCCTTCTGATTGCCTCCTCGGCTGATCAGCAGTCACTAAACTGAGTTGGGGCTGCATTTGAGCCATCTGCTTTCTTGTTCAGTACCTCATTTTTAATAAATTCAGTTGTTTGTAATGTCAACCTTATTGACCCGTTCAGGATTTTTATGAAAAATGTGGTTTTATATTTGAAATCCTCATGGTTTCTTAGGCAGGGTTACTAGCTTGGGTTGCTGTAATTTTTGTACTATCTAAACATAAATTTTCTAAAAAGAAAATATTGCTTTCCTACATTATGTCTAAATTTTGAGTAATTTCCTCAGCAAACTAAATTTACTACACCAGTTTTTAATTTCAGATGCAAGTTATTTTTGTTAATTCTTTCCTGATATCAACCATCTGTATCAAATATACTTTTAAAGTCTGTGTGTGAACGGAAAAAGAACATGGAGGTATAAGAAACATGAAAAATAATTCTAATCCAGAATACATCCAGGAAAAACACACATTTAAATACATCAAATAGTACAAACTGCTGTTTTGATGGTGATAGGTGCTGATAAGAAATAGCATTTACCTCAGGTTTTTATGTCTATCTTTATGAAATGTGGTAAGCAATGTAATAGAGTTTGCTGAAGACGTGCAAGGGTTTTATGGTGGTCTTTATACCTTCTAATCTCTTTTTAAGGCAATTTATGTCCACTGTGGGGCTCGTTTTCTCTCTTTCTCTTCCTCCTTCTCTGCCCTCCCCTTCTAGTTATAAAACTCCAAAGGTTCTTTGCTTCTACAGCCCTGGGCATTTCACAGGGTGTTTCATTAAACAAGTCTTCATCATAATTTGTTAAACTTAACCCCTGGCTTCCTGACAGTAAAGTAACACACAAACACACCAAGGAATCTCTTTGGGAGGATATGCTGAATGCCACTTTATATCAATTTCTACTTGTATTTTTTTAAATGCTTAGACCTTGGAAACAACAAGTTTGATGGCAGGAAAAAAAAATTCTGGCCTTTAGTGCTGGTTTATGTCTTTTATCTTGCCATACTCAGGTGCCGTGGGAATTTCCTCTGTGTCTGCAGAGAAATGGAGTATATAATTCCGTTTCTGTTTGTCTTGGCCAGTAAGCGTTTCTGCTGGGGATCGATCGATGTCGTTTGCCTGCCAGGAGCAAGTGCTGTGCCTCAAGCGTGGAGAAGCCAAAGTGCTGGAAATGGAGGAAAAAAAAATGGTTCTGAAAAGGAGCAGGGAGTTTTGCTACTTTTGCGCTCTGTTCTGTCTTGGATCTGCGAGTAAGAAATAATGCTTCTGTTCAATGCTTTCTGCCAGTGATACTTTTTATAGAAGGGGAGAGAAAGAGGTGGTATTTCCTAACCATGCCATCCTCCTCTGAGCTGCACAGAAGCAGTGCGCGAGCGGTAGATCAAAAATAACCCAGTGCTCTTAAGCTGATATGTGGGGCTGGCTCTGGAGGTGGAACGTGCTGAATTATTCCAGCAGGTCTCTGTAGGAGTGTTGCTATTCATGTATTAGGATTTAAAAATAATTTGAAAGCATTGTCTCTAAAGAAGTGGTAGAGTGAATAAGGGGGATTTCAGTGTTTAATATAGACAGGAATCTTGGAGACAAAGAATTTATGGAGGTTTTCATCAAGGATTTAAAAGTGAGAAGAGTCTTTTGTGCAGTTTTTATTATCAGGTTTCCACTGCTTAATCCAGGTTCCCATCTAATAAGTATACTAAAATTACACATACCATCCCAAATTTGTACCTTTTGTTGCTTCCTGTGCTTTCTCACTCCGAAGGTGTGGCGTGGGG